CTGAATTATATGAAATTGATATTCATAATTTTTCGTATATTTTGGCGGTTTACGTTTTTTCAAGTATTGACACTTGACATAGTACCTTGATACTTACCTTTCTTTTTTTCAAGAAACAAATGAATTTTTTTCTTGACTATATTTTTGCTACTTTCAATGAGGGGGTGACTCCTAAATCATTTTACCTATACAAAGACACACATACTCATTTATGATAAATTAAACTTCAACTTGTTGTTGAAATAGTATACGTTCCTCAGTAACTATTGTAGTAATTTTGTCTCTGTTTGGAGCAAAAAGTTTTCATAATTTTAATGTTGTATAGTTTTATCTGGCATATTCTTTGGGGGAAATTAGAACATTAGTGTCTGATTTTCCATTGGATTAACAGGACTTGAACGTCTCTGTACTCTTTTAATGTATGTCAGATATAAAATAATTTTTTTAAGATTCGGCTGCTCCGTTTTTTGTATTGAAACTTTTTTGTTTGTATTGTTGAGGTTTTTAAATAGTGTTTTAGATCCTTGTCATTTCTTGACGTATTAGGTTTTTACTTTAATTTTTTTCTTTCAAGTGTTTCTTTGAGGTTTATTTTCTCAATCATGGTTCAGTCTAGACTAAGCCCAAATGACTTATTAAGTCATGAACTCCACTACGAGATTCATATCAGAGGTTTGGAAGTCCCTAATACCGTGGAGGATAAACGTAAAGTTTTACGTGGCTTATTAGCACAGGAATTTCAAGGGCGTAGTTTCTCAGAAACTTCTGTGACTATTCCTTTTGATGAGGATGAGACTGAGATAAGACTCTCATTCAATAAACTCACTGAGATGATCTCTAGATTTACTGGTGCATTTGATTCTGTTGAACATCGCAGAATTTGTGTGCGCTTATTGCATCTATCTGGTAGGATAGATCGAATGTCTCCTACTTGTGATGAGGAGATAAGTACAAAATCTAGATTAAAGACACAACTTGTTGTGTGTGAATCGGATCTTTTAGAGAAGCTTGAGATGCCATCTGCTCAATCATCTCCTCCATCAGTTTCATCTCGTCCTATTCCATTAGCATCAAATCCGCCTGTGACTGTTGCTAATCCGTGACTGTTGCTAATCCTCAAGTATTTCCTCCAGTACATACACAGCCACTCTCTCCTATAAATTTTGCTCCACATAAAAAGATACCAGTTTTCAAATGGGGAATCAAAAAATTTTCTGGAAATAGCTCAGTTATTGAATTTCTAGAAATTGTCGAATCTCTAATGTCTTCCCGTGGTTGCAATGAGATGGATCTCTTTGCATCTGCAGGTGATCTCTTTGAAGATGTAGCCTGGACATGGTGGCATAATGGCCATCTAAGAAATAGCTTTCATGATTGGCAGGACTTGATTAAACAACTCAAGGATGCTTTCCTACGTGACAATTATGATATGAACCTAATTGATGAGATTCGTAGACGCAAACAAGGTCAGCATGAACATGTTACGATATTCATTTCGTTCATGGAATCTCAATTCAATAGATTAACCTACAATACATTTACAGAAAGGGACATGGTCAATATTGTCCGTAGAAATTTATTGCCTGACTTCATAAAGTCACTTGCTCTTCATGAAATTTCCACTTTTCCTGAACTAACATCACTTTGTAGGAAATTAGAGGATTCCTTCTTGACTTGTCAACCCCACAATAGACTTTCCACTTCCAGCTTGGTTACTTCTGATAGTACTCCATCATCTCACAGAAAAGCTCCTGTATGTTGGAACTGCGAGAAACTAGGACATTCTGTTCGAGACTGTAGAGCTCCTAAGGCTGTTTATTGCTATACCTGTGGTATGAAAAATGTCACACGCTCTAATTGTCCTTCCTGTTCAAAAAACGTGAGGCAAGAAGTTTCCAATCCGACTCCCGGAACTTCTTTCGCCCAGACTCGAGGAGTCATAGACGTAAAGGGCAAAGCAACTCCAGGTCTCATTCTGAAGTCCAACAAATAGCCAAGTTAAGACAACCTTCAGCAATTAATCCCGATTTTGACATTAATCATTCACAACTTGCAGGTATGCCATCAAATGATCATTCAGAACCATTTATTCAAAAACCAAATGACAATCGTCCACATCTTTCAATATCCATTGGTGATGAAAACATTTTAGCTTTGCTTGATACTGGAAGCAATGCCAACATTCTAGGTTCATCTGGCTTATACTTATTACGTAAATTAAATCTCAACATCGATTACAGTAGTACCTTGCAAATAACAACTGCTGATGGCCAGATGCAGAATACTTTAGGTTTTGCTTTGCTGCCAGTAGGTTTTAATGGCAAAGTTCATGTCATTAAATTCATAATAGTTCCTTCCATTACACACACATTACTTTTAGGCATGGATTTCATCCTAAAATTCAATTTCAACCTTGATTTTCATACTTTTTCATATCAATCTTGTGCTGTAAATTGTATTCAAGGTGTGGAGAAGCTATCTAATATGGAAAAGGAACAATTATTTGAAATTGTTGAACTTTTTAATAGCATTGCACACCTACTGACAGTATTGGTTGTACACATTTATATACACACAACATTGACACAGGTGATGCAAAGCCCATCAGGCAAAGACAATATCCGCTTTCTCATGTAATGGAAAAAGCTCTTATTAAGCAAGTTGATGAAATGTTGGACATGGGTATTATAGAACCTTGCAGCAGTGCCTGGTGTTCAGCGCTCTGGCTGGTTTCCAAGAAAGACGGTTCATATAGAGTTTGTTTTGATGGTAGAAAACTAAATTCAGTAACAATTCCTGACGCGTATCCTCCTCCTTTAATAGACTCTGTAATTTCTAAAATCAGAGATGCCAGATATCTATCATCCATTGATTTAAAATCAGCATTTTTCCAGATTCCACTTGATGAAGAATCTAAATTAAAAACAGCTTTCATAGTTCGTGGTAAAGGAATGTATTGCTTTCGAAGACTTCCTTTTGGCCTTTCTAATAGTTCAAGTGCAATGTGTCGATTATTAGACATGGTTATCGGTCCTGATCTGGAACCATATGTTTTTTATTATCTGGATGATATAATTGTGGCAACTCCTGATTTTGAAACTCACCTAAGGATACTGAAAGAAGTTTATAATCGATTGAAAGATGCTAACTTGACTGTAAATTTTGATAAATGTCATTTTGCTCGCTCATCTTTGACTTTCTTAGGCTATGTTGTTGATGAGAAAGGACTTAGAACAAACCCCGAAAAAGTATCTGCACTCTTATCATATCCTCAACCAACTAATACTACTCAGATTCGAAGGTTGATTGGAATGTTTGGATATTATCGTCGTTTCCTTAACAATTTTAGTGGTGTATGTTCTCCAATTTCAGACTTGCTTAAAAATCGGAAGAAGGGTGAACCTATCACTTGGACTCCTGATGCTGACAATGCTTTTAAGGAAATTAAGAATTTGCTAACCAGCGCTCCAATTCTTGCTAGTCCAGACTTCTCCAAGCCCTTCTATATTTGTTGTGACAGCTCAAATACTGGTGTGGGAGGCACTCTTTATCAAGAAGAAAATGGTTTGGAACATCCCATAGCTTATTTCAGTAAATCTCTCAACAAGTGCCAAAGAAAATACTCTACAACTGAAAAAGAACTGCTTGCAGTCATTCTTAGTATTGAACATTTCCGTTGTTACATAGAGCACACACATTTTTTCGTTATTTCTGATCATTCAAGTTTGCAGTGGTTGAGATCTCAAAAAACACCTTCACCTAGACTATGCAGATGGTTATGTCGTCTCTCCCCTTATGATTTTAAAATTATTCATCGTAAAGGCAAAGATATACCTGTAGCAGATGCTCTTTCGCGTTTGCATGAAAATGAGGTTAATGTGTCAGTTTTAGATCTTGCGGAATTATCTCCTGACAAGTGGTATCGTAAAATGATACGTAAGGTTGAAAACAACCCTGAATTGTATCCATCTTTTAAAGTAGAAAATAATATTCTATACAAACATATTCTTTCTGATAATCCACTTGCAGAAACTTATACTGAC